AACAACAGCAAAAGTTTAAATCTTAACTATAAAATCTGCTACTTATACCTCGGATATACTTAACAAGCGATCAAAGTTTCCAGACATGAGCCCGTCACCTAGCGCATCACGTACGTCAGCGTATATGTCACCATGCGCTATAAATCTGTCAGGATCACTTTCCATAAACTAAAAACACACAAATAAATGAGAAAGTTTGATGAATTGTTTATTATAACCAGATACGCGTGCTTAAATAGTTAGTATTCGCAATTTCTTTAACACTATATTAGCCTCAATAGACGACTGAAGCTTTACGTCACCTTGGTGATTGGTAATGCATTGTGGGATCAGTTTCTTGATTAACCTGTCAATAGACCTCTGAAGCTTTTACGTCATGTACCGTATACGCAATGCATTGTAGGATATGTTTGGGATAGAACATGGCGGATTTCTTTTGTTTTCTCATCCCAAAATGCATTGCAATTCAAGTAATGACGTAAAAGGTTCAGAAGTCTATTTCATCGTACCTGATAACCCTCAATATCTCTCGGTATCAACCACAGCAAATCTGGCTGTTGAATCAATTCTCTGACAACTGGTCCACCATACCGTCTTGCCAGTTGCTTCAGCAAGTAAACAAGTGGAGCTCGGTGTTTCAATCGTTTGACGAGGTCTTGGACGACACTCAGAACTTCATTCAAAGATCCAGCCATRTCTTCAAATCTCACGTCATCAGTCATGTGACTTTTAAACAGCCACTCAGCAATGAGTCCCAAACCATGACGAATGTTGGAGATTGCTTCGAGGACTTCGATATGRAGGTCCTCGGAATCTTGGTTTGTTGCAAGTTTTTCACCATACGATGAAATCATTTTTTTTGTAACAGCCATCAACMATTTAAGCTCAAGGTTTCGTTCGGTCATTTCTGCTGCAAAGGAGTCCTAAATGGAAGTACATTTATGCACATGATATCATCTCTAAGGAACACTTTCCTGTCCTAAGACCCATCGAGGGCCGTTTTCAGGTTTGTTTCATAGGTGACGATATATATATATAACGTAACACGCAAAGAGTCAAGGAGAAATGAAAAAACCCCTGATTTTCTTAAATGATTAACTTCAGCCTCAATGAATTTTCGCTATGCATAAATGGTAAGATATCTATTTTTGGAATTTCTTTGAATTAATTTTAATTTTGAAAGAGGTGCACGCGCTCCCTGTGCCTTCTCTTAGTACTCTAACAAAAACCTAACCGTAAGGTCACATACCTCAATACAATCAGCTGTAAGCTGGCATACTCGAATCACGTGGTCTTCATCAGACGAAAGCTCCCTCGCGTCGACAAGATAACGCTGAATGTACTTTTTTACGCCGTCATTGTTCCTGAAAAACATTCATGTCTAATTAAACCGTRTACTTCAAAAATATAGAAAAAAGGAATGAATGAATGAAATAAAGAGAAACAAAACAAGAGAAAACTAGTAGGTAAAAAATGCAGGATTAGGAGAGAGCAGTACCTGGTTGTCAGCAGTTGTTGCAGTAAAAACGACCTCACAACAGGTGTCTCGTCAACTTCGAAGTCAGGAAATGGCGAGAAGCTTTTCGTTTGAGAGGAACTACTTCCTGTGATATACCTCATAAAGATATCAAATACATCTGGATCCAAAGTGAACTTCTTGTCTTTGGTTCCGAAACACAAGAGGGAAATGAGCTCCATGAAGAATGAATTGCATCGACGCCGGAATTCGTTGACCTCCCTTTTAGTAGYGCTGRKTTGTTTTTATTTCAAAACAAAAAACGCAAGGATATYGCATTAGTTTAGTTACCAAAAGTAGAATATCTATAAATACACCTCATTTAAAAATGGTTGTCGGGTTCMAAAAGKTGCCAGGACCGAAAGRAAGCMTGGGAACCCAAATAATTAGCATACTATTACGTAGAAGACTGTCAGTAGAAGACTTTCAGTTCCATATCATTCCCTGAACTAGATAAAAATGAACCTCTCTTTAATGTTACAATACATGTTTAGGTGATGAATTTGATCAAAATTTAAAGTACCCAAAATCCCTTTCGATCTCATCTTTGATGACGTCATAATACCCTTTCCAAACCTGAGAATAATTAGTATATCTAACTTGATCAATTGTTTACCTTGTAAAGGAATCGATGCATTCTAACAAGAAAAGCTCAACAGCTTCAATGTATTTCGCTTTTGAAAAGTCTGTTTYTTCATCCAGAGCCTTAAAAAAAGGCAGATAATTATAAACACGTCTAGAAAACACAATGCATTCATCAAATTTACTGTACTTACTTTACACAACTGAGCAATATTCTGTGGATCGACNTCTGTCAAAGACTGCTTATTTGGGGCTCTGGGAATTCGGTGCCTAACATCCTAGTAGTATTTAAAATAGGCAGATTGAGCATGCGCTACTCCGCTTACGGCTGCCATCTTCGTCGTCTAATGAATAGTCAATATAACGTTAGACAGTAACGTGGTCATCATATGCCAATGCCTGATTGCTATATCGCATTGTTTTTTACTTGATATTGCGTCGTCAACACTTGCCCTGGCTGTCCCTTTTTCCTACCTGCATGCTGTTAAAATATAAATCGTCTTTTCCTCATTTTCTAAGTCTTTTTCTTCGACCATCATACTTTCTGTAGGAGCTCGCACTGAAATCACGTGTTCACACCATTGTTTTCTTTTATCAGGATTTGCCATGTTCACTTGCTGAGGTTCCAAGCTTTCAAGACTTATTTGGAGTGCAATGACGTCGAGGGTCTAATATAAAAAAGTCACTTATAACATTAAATGGTTGCCTGACAAGGTTGTGATTGAACTCGTATATTGCAATGCTTTTATGATATATATGAAATTTTCAGAGCTTGGAAGCAAAAAAATAGAGAGAATATTCCTCAAACATATCTTCGCATTAAATATTATCCCTCTTCAAGAAGTTCAATTACATTTACCATTTCGATGTCATTGTAAGAGAACACTTCAAGAAGTTTTTGCACAATTGAAGGCTTGCATCGTACAAGATGACTRAAGCAGGCAAGCCGGTGTTCAATACGTGAATAAGCCTTGTGSACCAGAGCAATATCCGGGAATTTGAAATCTGTTGTATCACCGTTAACGCCGTCACGGTTGTGCAATTGCCTTGTTGTGATAATTATAGCTCTTGCAACAAGCTAAAGAGAYGATGAAACAATATCAGCTATAAATAACAGTAAAGAAATGCATATAGAACGAGTCGTCGCGCATTATAAAATATTTGTTGGACAGTCGACTCTCGTTATGATKSACACCTAYGGGACAGTAAATGRACTCAGTAACGAGTGTAAATGACGTTATTTTAAATGGAGTTTTATTTGAGCAAGGCGTTCGTTGTCTGCAGCAAGGCAKAGTTGACTCTAGTGGTTTATGGCTGATGAAAACGATGACATTTGTCAAGGGCAGTGATGGCATACGGTTGTGGATAGAGAGGACGAAGACARTGAGGGCTTTAATGGAAATACAATRTTTTTAGTTTTCCTTGCTGTTGATAGCAATCGTAGTGATGACAAAATTAGCAATGACGTTGGCCGGGTTGATGTAGTGGATGAGAAAGGATGATGATGATTATGATTATGATAAAAGCTGCCTTTACCTCAACCTCGCCGTCCTCTATAGGTTTGTAATTCATATGAACAAAGTCATGAATGTATCTCTCGACTGCTTCTTGTCGTTCGTTAATTTCGTTTATGATAGCTGACACGTCAGAGTTGGACATCAGTACACGGAGGCATTCTTCTACGGACTCGTGGTTGGGTGAGTTTTCTGAATCAGATCAAAGACGACCACAATTATAATGACCGAACGAACTAATCAATCAATCAATCATTCCATCCATCGACCGACCAACCGACCAACCGACCGACCAACCGACCAACCGACCGACCGACCGACCGACCGACCGACCGACCAACCAGCCAACCAACCAACCGACCAACCGACCAACCAGCCAACCAACCAACCAATCAATCAATCAATCAATCAATCAATCAATCAATTAATCAATCAATCAATCAATTATACGACCGCGTTAGTGTTTTGGCTTTTTTCTGAAAAATATTTATCTAACCTGAAACACCCTTGGCGTTCTCCCACATAACATCAACTTTCTCCTTTATAAGCCATGAGAACGGGAGCCAACACTTAAAGAAGTGACCATCTCGACCAGATGACTTTACCGGCACTTTAGTCCGGATCATCTCGTTTTCCTCAGTCAAGAAAGACGAGTACTGAACCTCTGTAAACTTGTTGTTTTGGAAGAGTTGAAGCCACAGCTCTGTCAACCAAGGGTTATTTTTTTGTAGCAGTTCCAAGTTGCCATTGGTGTCAATRTAAGTGATTAATTCTGATAAGATTGGCACAATGGCATTCTGTATTTTGCGCCACAGTGCTCGTCTGTAAGTCCCGGTTTCCTGGAGRTCTGAATGTTCCATAGCTTCTGTTGTCGACCATTTTTTACCTTGTTCAGTAGTTCTCTCATCCCTTTCTTTTAAAAGCTCGTGCACGCGAGTTATCAATACACGAGAGAATGACTGCATATTTCCACCATACACTGTAATAAACGCAAGTGACAAATTTGTAATATAAACTATATGTGTTGATTAGTTTACAAAGAATTTGTATATAATCTGTAAATATACTGTAAATTCAATTTACAGATAAAATGTTCTTTTACAAAGTTTGTAAATTTTATGTACATTTTGTAAATATCTTGTAAGTTTTGCTTAATCAAACATTGTAAATATCTTGTAAAAGCAATTTACAAAGTTTGCAAAAGGATCTTTTGTCTTTAAATTAAATAATTTACAGTAAATTTACAGACTCGGTAAATTGATCAAGTTTTCCAGTGTAAGACATTACAGCCAAATATGATTCCATGGCAATTTCAAGGCGACAAGAGAGAGAGGATTCACAAATCAAAAATGATGAAAATGAAATAAATACTGCAGGAAGATGGAATGATCCTCACATTAAACTAATATTCATTTAAAAATTATTAAATTTTTCACCTGGGGTTCTTTTACCATCTTTAGAAAACTGGTCAAGTAATATGACGATTCTCCGAGTTGCTCTTTCAACTGTATTGGAACTGTCGTTAATCCTTTGCGCTGCCGAYTGCACACACTGTCTTAGAACACCAACAGCGTCCAGGGCATTATCTTTAGAATCATTATAACACATGCAGGCTTCAAACAGCTCACTGAGGGACTGGTCCTTTACATCTTCCAAAGAAGGAACGTAGAAGGAAGGAGTAGCGAGTTCATCGATGTGAACAGACTCCCAGCGTTGACCTTGGAAACCAACGAAATCAGGGTAACCGCCAGGGATTCTGGGTAGCTGGATGATGACAATKATGTGTATTGGGGCGAGWTCTGTATGATCTTCTGTAAATTCAGCTCGTTGCTTCATAAGAAGATGGCGTGCACAGGCTAAAAGGTTGAATGTGGTATCTGCTGGAATGCACTGGACGACGAGGAGACCTTCTTCACCTCCGAGATGAGCGAAGAATTTTCTTCAAGAGAAAAATACAAAAAGGTTAATTGGATGTAATACTTATCAACTGTTGTTATTATTCCACTTACCCAACTCTATCACAAAACTGAAGCTCTGTCTGAAACTGTTGCAGAGTGAAAAACTCGACATAATGTCTGTGAATGTTTAAAGCCCCTGCAACTTCCTTCAAGTCGTCTTCTGACAACAGCCTGGAATGAGTGGATACCTGAAAAATTGCAAGTTAATGTAAAAAGCAAGTTGAAATTCGAAAAATAAGATGAAAGACTATTAATTTATCAATTATTACAGAACTCGATCGTTAAACTTACCTGAATAAGCAGTCCATCGTCGCGTTCTTTGCCTTTTAAGAATTCTGCCAGACTWGAGTGGTGTTGCTGTTCAAAGTACATGTTCCAAATGTCATCAGCTTCATTCTTAAGATCACTGGAGTGCAATCTGGCAATTGCATCTGGTGTACAGCATTGCACTAAGAGTCGTTTGGACTCTGCCAAAACCTGTGACGTTGAAAAATATTAATTGACATGAACAGTCTCACATCTTAATGCGTTAAAAACTGTCGATGGAAGAGTTGTCCCACAAACACAATATAACAAAATACTTTTTTTTCCTAAACTATCATATTCCTTACAGAATTACCGGTATTCAGCTCTAAAGTGSGTAATATTTGGGAAATGACAACATCAGCAAAACAGGTAATCGTCAATTTACAGCTTGTAACCTACTTTTTCCTCCCAWTCATATCTCATCTGCTCATCTTCCAATTCTGTCTCATCTTGTCCGAGATTGCTGCAGACTTGGAGCACCACTGACGGGATTGTATCCTCGTGGTACCCAACAAACGCATCTCCCTTTGAAAATTCCCTGAAATATTCGAAAGAAAATAATAACGAAAATGAAGCTCCTAATTGCCCCCAAAAAGATCAAAACAATAGTCTCCTTCACGGTTACCTGCGCCATCTTGAAAGGTAGCAGTGCCTTTACATCGAAGCGAGACAACCGTGGAGCGTGCAATGATAGATACCTGTAAATAATTGTCTGTAGGTGTGAAGAAGGTTTCTATCATTGCACGCTCAACGGTCGTCTCGACCGCTTCGATGCAAAGACACGGCTACCATTCAATATGGCGCAGGGAACTGTGAATGAGACTATTGTACCTTGTTTTGCCGTGATGCTGTGGTGTGTTGATTCTTGCAAAGCGTTCCACCCAKTCCTTGAGAGTTCCCACAAGTTCTTCCTGGGGAGCAGACAGACTTGTTGACAAAACCAGGAAGTGTTTCTCCAGGCGGTTAATCAAAGGAATTGGGAAATCGTTGTAAACTGTGCTTTTTTCCGCGATAACAATCAACCTGGTGAGAAATTTCAATAGTCAAAACCACAATATTGGTAGAATTCCGKTTCAATTTATTTGACGACCCCTGCATTGCCAATATATCCATACTTCTCTTCTCCCWGTGATCGTTGAATCGTTTTCTTAAGACAGACGTCCATTATTGATAAGATTACCTGAACTTTGGGTCCACTCTACACTTGACTCTGTGAGTTCCRAGACCAAGGTCCACATATTTTGCGTTACCAAAATGTACATAATACTAAAATAACGACAACATGATCAGCAYTGAAGTGGTATTCCAGGAAGTGGTCTTTCAGTTTTGGTATTAGTCTATGGAATTACCTGGTTAAGAGCGTCATAAAGCCCCTCGTAAAGTCTTTCCATGTTGAGAAGGATAACAGTTCGTCCTGTTTCCATGCACACTTTGATGTCGTTGATGTTTCGACAAACCTGAAAAATARTCAATCGAAAACGAGATGCGTTGGCGCTTTCAAAAATGTTGCTCCCAAATGCCTCACTTAATGCGCACGYCTGCGATTTTCTGAAAGCTCCCTTGAATCTTAGAATTCGTCTGTAGGTACTTATAAGAAAGTTAATAACATCACTAACCTGGGTGTACTCAAGATCTTTAGGAAAATTGCTCCCAAAGATCAAAACTGGATCGTTCTCATCTCCTTTTTTCCTCGACTCTTTCAAATATTGCTGAACGATACTCAGAGCTGCATGGTTTTCAGTCAAAATCAACAAATATCGACTATCCCTGCATACAGAAAATAACACGATAAATTGCTGTGGAAACAACAACCTAATGACATAGTGGCAGCATGACTAGTGGCAGTAGTTGTAAAGCACAAGTAGTAGTAGATTGAAGAAGCWATAGCAGGATGAGTAGGCAAGTAGCGGTAAGCAGATATAACAAATAAGGACTTACTCTTCAGAAGGATTCTTGTCGAGACTTGACTTAATGAGTTCAAAAGGACTCATCAACGTTCTTTCATCGTTATCCTAAAAGTTAAMCATTTTTTTAATAAAATRCATTTCCCTAATACAKTTTTGGTGAAACTTTTCATTTGAGTTTCAACAGATACACATTAGATTTGTTTTCTATAATTATTGCTGATTTGGTCAGTCACAGTRCTAAAATGAAATTATATCCTTCATACCGCTCTRTGATGTTGCGGTACGTCCATGTGCTTCATAAAGACTTCCACTGGATCCAAATCACCACCTTGAAGACCTCCAAAGTTACGTCTGACGGCGTATTCAACAATATCCCATCCAGGRACMMAGTGARTGTCTTTGGCCTTGCTGAATATCATCTTGATAAGACTGGGAGAAAAATGCATTGCCTTTGAGCACGAACCGCTTTTTGGCAAAAAAMCCGCAAACTTGTTTAACCATTTTAATCCTATACCAAATGATTTCTTCAGRGTTCGATGAAAATATCAAYAAATACGATAAAAACTATGTTRGTAGGATGATCCTGGGAAGAACAATTTAGAAACTAGACGCTCTAAGAGCGCTTACACGGACTTCCCAATTCTAATAATTAGTAGATGTATACCTGTAAAAATCTCTTAATCCGAAGAATTCGTCTTTCTTGGATTCTTTCAAGACATGTAGGTTTTTCTGTCTTTCATACACCTCCTGATATGCTTCCGCTAGAGCGGGTATTATGGGAGCCATTCGCTCTTGAACATCTCGCTTTGATGCACATATACCCCTACACAAACATAAATTGGTGAACTGTTACAACAATGTTTTGATTTTAATCCAATCAACCTTTAAAAAGAACCAAATTTTGACAAAGATTAACATTTCTTACATAGCACTGTCTTCAAGCTCCTGTAGTCCAGGTACATCACGTGACAGCATTATTCCTCGGTTCATCTTGGCGGGGTCTAGGGCCCAGTTTGAAATCCCAATGAAGGCAACCCTCGTCGGTTTCTCGTCGGTTTCGATGATATCATCGGATGACGTCACACCATCCTCAAGCAGAGGGTGAAGTGTCTTCAGCGGTAGCAGCGGTGAATCTTCAGCAAGACCAACTTCATCCAACACTACTACTGATACAAACCTGTCTGGGTTCTTGTCCTTTTGGAGGTTTGAACACTGTCGAAACGTTTCCGTGATCCCTTCGGGTTTGGACAGAGGACTGCACTGGTGAGCTAGCATTTGTACCTGACATAAACAAAGCCAACGCTTACATAAAGCTTTAATTAATAATGGTTCTCGTACAGTAGGCTGGGGCCAGTTGAACGAAGAGTGGATCTATATCACCGGAGAAGGATTTATCGTATGGATAAAGCTATATATCCTTTCATCCTTCGTACAACTTGTTTTTTCTTGGTATCTATTGGATATTTCTTTTGCTGAATAAAAGCCTTGGTAATTGTTAA